CACAAGCGGATGGACTTGATAGAAAATGCGTCTTGAGCAGATCAGACACTCCTGCATCCCCTGCAGGGCTGGACTTGTCCACCTGGGGATCAGCTGCGGATGTTGCAGAAGAACCTTTCGCCCGAGCAGATGACTCTTTCGCTTTCTTAGCCTCTGCCAACCTCACTTCCAAAGGAATTGGTGGCGACGAATCAACTCCACGCTTGACTGCTCGTGACTCAACAGCAGGATCATGGTGGTTGGGTGGATGAGCAGACCTCCCAGATCGACCTCCACTCTTCGACTGGGACAAACGACCCGAACTTCGGATATGAACATCTGCATCTCTTTGCCTCTCAACAGGTGAACTAGATCGCGCACGGACTATTTCACGGAGCAGATCACGATCTCCACACTCATCAGCAAGAGGCTTAAGGGGGACATCCTTAATGTTGCGCATACCACCAATCTTCTTGCTATCTACACCAACAAGATGTTTGACCCTTGCAGATGACGCTAGAGTAGCTCCTACTCGGGTCTTCTCAGCAGAAGGGAGCTTTGACTTCCTACCATCTTCAGAAGACATGATCAACAGACAACTGCAAGAAGAGAAGAAAATTCTACATGTTAGAATACACAAGAAAAAATAAAAAATAAAAAAATAAAAGCTGGCAGAAAAAGAAAAAAAAAGGAAATGGCCCAGCTTGGAGCAGCCCAGCGCACCCTCCAACTCGAGCCTATCTCACCAGCAGTGCATTTGGCCCAGCACCATCGCAGCCCACCTGGCGCACCCATGCGGCCCACGACACGCTAGCGCGCGAGGCATCAGCGCGCGCCTCCTGGCCCAGCTCCCGCATGCGTGGCCTGCTTCCCAGCTCAAGCCCACGACTCGCAAGGCCCAACGCCTCTTGGCCACTGCTCCGAAGCCCAGCGCCTCCATTTTTCTGCCTTGGGCTTAGCTCCTCCATGCTCTCTCCTTGAGCCCAGCACTTGCACCAGGCCTTATTGCGTTAGCTCCAACCCATGCTGGACCACAACCTTGCTGCCAAAAAAGACAAAAAATATATACGAATATATATTTTTATGGGCTCGACTTACTTTGGATGCACGGCAACTCCTCTCTTCGACAAGCAGTACAAATTCTCCAAGATCTTTCTCAAGCTAGAAAGTAGAGAAGTTAAGTTTGCGATGTGAGAAAGAGTGAAGAGAAGCCCTGTATTTATATAAGTTGGACAACCCGGGTCAAGAAGGAATCGCAAGCTCATTCCTGCTGGGAATCCAACTCCAAGAACAGTCAGAAGCCTACTCTAATTGGGAACCTGATCTGGAAAAAGAATCCAACTCGCAGAAGAAAGCCCAGATACAGTTGGAGAGTCCGAAAAATAATTTCATCTCCTACATGCCACACAAGCGCCATGCAGAAGCTGGGGGGCATTTGTGGGAGCAAATATTTTCGTCTCCAATCAGAGCACGCCACGTGGAAAAGAAGATTATCCCTTAAATTAATTAATTAAACCATTTATTGGGATAATTAATTAATCAGGATAATATCTTAGTTATATGGTATTATCTCATAATTAATAAAGATAATATCATTAATTGGGATATTATCATAATAAAGGGATATTATCTTATAATTAATGAGATAATATCAATAATTTGGTTATTATCTTATCAAAGGGATAATATCCTAATTATTAGATATTATCTTATAATTAACGAGATAATTCAAATATTATCAAGTCCGACTCGATCTCTACGAAACCCTAGCCCCGAGACTCCTATAAATATATGGGTTTATTCATCATTCAAGGTACATCTAAAACCCGAGAAAATACCCGAAGCTCTCTCTCCCTCTCCACTCCCCCCTCTCCACTCTCCATATTTTCTCCACACGGCTCCGGCCACCACACACGGCTCCAGCCGCCCGGTTTACACCATACAAACTCCGTACCCTTTGCTTAGCTATCGTTTTCCTATTTCCTACATGCCACACAAGCGCCATGCAGAAGCTGGGGGGCATTTGTGGGAGCAAATATTTTCGTCTCCAATCAGAGCGTGCCACGTGGAAAAGAAGATTATCCCTTAAATTAATTAATTAAACCATTTATTGGGATAATTGATTAATCAGGATAATATCTTAGTTATATGGTATTATCTCATAATTAATAAAGATAATATCATTAATTGGGATATTATCATAATAAAGGGATATTATCTTATAATTAATGAGATAATATCAATAATTT